CCATTGATATCTCCCTGTGGAAATTTGAGACCAGCAAGTATTACGTGACTATCATTGATGCCCCAGGACACAGAGACTATCAAAAGCGTGATTACAGGCACATCACAGGCTGACTGTGTTGTCCAGATTGTTGCTGCTGGTGTTGGTGAGTTTGAAGCTGGTATCTCCAAGAATGGGCAGACCCGTGAGCATGCTCTTCTGGCTTACACAATGGGTGTGAAACACTCTACAGCCAGAAGAGATACGAGGAAATCGTTAAGGAAGTCAGCACCTACCTTAAGAAAATTGGCTACAACCCCCACACAGTAGCATTTGTGCCAATTTCTGGTTGGAATGATGACAACATGCTGGAGACAAGCGTTATTATGCCTTGGTTCAAAGGATGGAAAGTCACCCATAAAGATGGCAATGCCAGGGTAACTACACTGCTTGAAGCTCTGGATTGCATCTTGCTACCAACTCATCCAACTGACAAGTCCTTGCATCTGCCCTTCCAGGATGTCTACAAAATTGGTGGTTTTGGTACTGTCCCTGTGGGCCAAGTAGAGATTGGTGTTCTCAAACCTGGCATGGTGGTCACCTTTGCTCCAGTCAATGTTACAATTGAAGTGAAGTCTGTTGAAATGCACTATGAAGCTTTGAGTGAAGCTCTTCCTGGAGACAATGTGGGCTTCAATGTTAAGAACATGTCTGTCAAAGATGTTCATTGTGGCGATGTTGCTGTTGACAGCAAAAATGACCCACAAATGGAAGCAGCTGGCTTCACTGCTCAGGTGATTATCCTGAATCATCCAAGCCAAATCAGTGCTGGTTATGCCCCTGTACTGGATTGTCACACAGCTCACATTGCTTGGATGTTGCTGTTGACAGCAAAAATGACCCACAAATGGAAGCAGCTGGCTTCACTGCTCAAGTGATTATCCTGAATCACCCAAGCCAAATCAGTGCTGGTTATGCCCCTGTACTGGATTGTCACACAGCTCACATTGCTTGCAAGTTTGCTGAGCTGAAGGAAAAGATCGATTGACATTCTGGTAAGAAGCTGGAAGATGGCCCTAAATTCTTGAAATCTGGTGATGCTGCCATCATTGATATGGTTCCTGGCAAGCCCATGTGTGTTGAAAGCTTCTCTAACTATCCTCTGCTGGGTCGTTTTGCTGTTTGTGATATGAGACAGTTGCTGTGAGTGTCATCGAAGCCATGGCCAAGAAGGCTGCTGGAGCTGGCAAGGTCACCAAGTCTGCTCAGAAAGCTCAGAAGGCTAAATGAATATTATCCTTAATACCTGACACCCCAGTCTTAAGCAGTGGTGGAAGAACGGTCTCAGAACTGTGTATCACAACTGGCCATTTAAGCTTGATAGTAAAAGACTGGTTAATGATAACAATACATCACAAAACCTTCAAGAATGTTTTGTGGACCATTTATTTGTGTGTGGCAGTTAGTTATACTTTTTAAAATCAGTACTTTTTAATGGAAACAACTTGATCAAAAATCTGTCACCGAATTTTGAGACCATTAAAACAGAGTTTAATGGGGGCGGGGGGTGGGGGAATCAGGGCTGGCTGGTTACTCAGTTAGTTAGAGAGTTGTGTTATAACACCAAAGTCAAGGGTTTGGCAACAAGTCAGTTGCCCAAAAAATAAATAAACAAGAACAAAAACCATAAATATGCCCATGATTTAAATTCAAAGATACTAATCATGGCTTTATTTATTATGGAGAAAAATGGAGGGAAGGGAAGCCTAACAGTCCAAAAAAGTGAATGCCTTAAATAAGCTGTGCATTATTCATCGATGGGAATCTATGAAACCATTCAAAACTATTTAGAAGAAAATACGACAGCATAAAAGAAAAGCCTCACATTATGTTGCTAAAGAAAAAGCAAGTCATGAAATACAATGATTTCATTTTTGTTTTAAAGAAAAGGATAAATAAATAAATTCAAAAGACTGGAAGGGTATTTGTACATAATTCTTATCAATATGGTAGTTTAATTTCTGAGACGCTAATCAATGACAAAACTGAAATTATATGATGGGATCGTGGAAAATAGGCTTTTACTGGAAAACAATAAAATGCCTTATACTTAAAGCATAGAAAGTAATCTATTACAAAATGAAAGAGATCTACAGCATTAAAAGATATCTGCTTTAGTAGTTAATTGTGCTACTGATTTGCCTTCTTTAATCTTTCAGTAAAATATAATTTTTAGTAACCAATACCTGCTAAAGGCAATGTGTTCCACTAATTTTATGTTATGCACATGCTACTCCAGTTTGAACTTTTTAACCTCTATTTGTGTTTTGTGGTTATTGACCCTGTGTTTCCCCTTTGTTTTGTTTTAACTGGTTTCATCAATTAAAATACCCCTTCCCTGTCCTTGTACAAAGGCAAAATTCTGCATGTCTTTTCTTTTTATACCAAAGGGGTGGAGTTTAAAGAATCTCATCATTTTGCAATGCTTTAAGGTGATTGAACTGAATCCCGTATATGTAAATTGGTTGCAGAATTTTAAATTTTGACATAATGATACAAAACAGTGTCACCTCAATACTTCAGCTGGCCAAGATGGGGTGGCAAGGGTTTATTACACATCAAATGTAAATCATGATTAGCTGGGCAGAATTACAAATAATTTCTTTTTTCCCTCTCATTGTAATTTTACATAATTTTTGAAATTTCTATAATTAACATGTCATAATCAGAAAAAAATAATAAATATCATGTAGGAACACATATGTAGTCCTGTAGTTATTGGGGGTCCAATCTACAAATTATTTCGGGGAGCCCTAACTGGCTGTAATTGGGTGTTTTTTTTCCTGCATTATCCAGAAGACAAGACACAGCATCTTATAATGTCTTTGGGGGCAATAGGAAGAGATAAATTTGTGTCTTCTAGCCCTGAAAAGATCATATTTGTCTGGTTTCAAGAAGAAAAGTGTAATGTAATAATTTGAGAAGTCAATAGCAATAGCCCACGTAGGTACGCCCAATTTCATGGTGCACTTAAAGCTTAGAGAAATTATTTAACCTGATGTTGGCACAAATGAAGTTTGATGTATGAGTATGCCAATTCCCATTGAGATTGCCATTTTAAGAAATAGGAATAAAAACCCAAAAGGAGAAAAAAAGAGAAAAAGAAAAACATCCCTTTCTTTGACGCAAAATTGGATTTTCAGCATTTTGCAGTTTTGAATTTCACATGAAGATGACCTTAAAAACAGTGACCATTAAAACAGTTGTTAGAAAAGTGTATTATTTACACACCATGCACTTTTGAAATAGAGATAACAGGAAGACATAATCATGCCGTACAGTGTAACCTACTTTGAAAGGTGTAGGCAGCATAGCAAAAAATGTCCTTACATCACTCTTGTCAAGAAACAGAAGTTTTATTACCAAGGAATTTCACTTTTGCTGCTTATTCTTAACACTAGCCCAGGGACTGAAAGGATTTGTTGATCTAATATAGATAGCGATGTGTTGGGTTTGTTCAGATTTATATGGACAGCATCTGGGGATCAGGAATTACATTTAAAATGTAATAAAATGTTCCTGTGCACTTTAACTTACAAATACTATACTTAAAAAAGTAAACATCAAATAATCTCAGGTATCCTTCAAGAAAATGTTGACATAGCTCAAGAAGCTCACACAGATATCTTTGAATCATTTCTAAGTAAACTTAATAAACTCATTTTTGTATTCTATGGCTATACAATAAAACTATCATACCTGGGAAAGGAAGAGATACCAAGGCATATGCTTTTATTTGCTTCAAAATGCATGTTTTCTAGTTTAAAAATGATGTTTTTTCAAACACTATCAGAAAAATCCATTCAAACTAAAAGTAAGCATTTATAAAGGACAATCTATTACCAAGAGACTACCCTAAAATTATCAGTGATCACATATAAAAGAGCAATACCCCCACAGTATTCTCATATTATTTTCCTAAAATGCTCACATCATGGTCAGAGTTACTATTAGACTCTGATACCCCCAAACAAGGGGGCTTTCTGGATTTAAAATTTTTCTTAAACCTTTCGATTAAAACACTTAACTTCCAAAATATCTGATACCAAAACTAGACAATTCACTCAAGAGGGATTCAAAAACAATTCAATTAAAAACAAACAACAACAACAACAAAAAAAAGCTTTATTTTTCAAATTATAAGTTTCATTTCATCTTTCATATCTGAGAGAGTATCTTCAAGAATCTCTCCTCCCACCCTGATCCCAATCCATTCATTATTTCTGGAGTGTTTGGATTCACGGCCAAAACACTGAGAATGCACGCTCCAGGCAGGAAGGTGGTGGCCTGGGCCAGGAAGAAGGTTACAGTCCCACAGGTTTGCAGAACCCAAAAAGGGGTGAGCGCCGGCCATCCCTATATAGGATCCGCACCACGCTCAGCCAGTGAGCACCGGCCATCCCTATATAGGATACGAACCCGCTGCGCTCCCAGCGCCACACTCTCCCGCGTGCGCCATGGGCTCGGCCCTGAAAAAGGCTTTTCTAAAAGAACTGTTCAATTCAGCTTTAACAAACCATATTTTGAGACATGATATTTTTAGTCAGGGTTTTTAACCTGTGGAACTTCACAACACAGTGGACTAGTACAAATAAACATCCTTTGTAACATTTTTGAAGATTCACACTCTCCCGCGTGCGCCATGGGCTCAGCCCTGAAAAAGGCTTTTCTAAAAGAACTGTTCAATTCAGCTTTAACAAACCATATTTTGAGACATGATATTTTTAGTCAGGGTTTTTAACCTATGGAACTTCACAACACAGTGGACTAGTACAAATAAACATCCTTTGTAACATTTTTGAAGATTTTGTTTCAAATGTTCTTTTTCTTTTTAAATTACATTGATAAAAGATTTTTCACTCCCAAGAAGACATAGAAAGTTAATTTCTAACACCAAACTATGGAACTCCATCACCATATTCCAGTTAATTCCACTGACTGAAATTAAAGGAAACAAGCCCAGATAGAAAGATTATAGACTTATATTGCATTTTATGTACTTATATATAATATAAATTTATATTTATATTTATTATATTATAAGAGTATTGGTTTATATAGGTTCTGTCTTTGGCTCTTAGATATAAAGAAGTTTGACAGAACCTCTGTATCCTTAGTTTTATTTACTTTTAGTGGGAGAAAAAAAATCACTTTTTTATGTCAAGTTCTAGTTTTAACTGTGCAATTTTAAAGTCGATTATCTCTTCTTCCTGAAAAGATACAAAATGGTTTGAAACTTTGTGTACAGGTGTGTGAGTGTATATGTGAGAGAGAGAGAAGGTAAAGTTTTCTTAGATTTTATTGAACACAAAAGGCTTTCTTTGAAGTATTCTACAAAATTGTTTTTAATTTTACCACATGGGAGTGGGAAGTCATGCACGTGGTATATGGCTGAACTTTGGGTGGCTTTGAACACAAAAACAGTGAAATAGCACATTATTCAAGTAGGGCTTACGATTCCTGAACTGAGGACATTTCTTCAAATATTTTGAACGAAACATGGAGAATTTGGCAGCTAGAATATTTCCCTTCAGTACTCAATGAAATGAAATAGCTGCTATTTCTTAATAGCAAGCTGCAGGTTTCCATCTGTTATGAATATTCTGATGACTTCAAAGGCGCATTCTTATTTTTGAGCCTCTTTTGAAAACTTAAAAGGACATAAATAACTTCAGTATGGTTAAATATTTATTTGGAAAACATGCCTTCTAAAGTCTCCTTTAGGAACTTGTCACTCTAGGAGTGGAAGGAAGCAACTATGCCAAAGTCACTTTGCATGAGACATCAGTTTCTGCTAGGCAGAAGTGTCAGTGCCTTTCATATATTCGTCAAATTTTTATTGTGGTCCTACTATGTGCTAGGTACAGTGCTGGGCTCTTTTCAATTGCTCTGACAGCAGAAATCTGCAGAATACACTTCAGCTTTACATCTATGCAAGTAACAATGAAAAGCAGATGTATGATAACCATCTAATGGGTACAAAG